GGAAGCGGCACTGTGTCTCAAGTTATAGAGTGCTAGCCTTGAGTACAAAGAGGCTCAAGGGCAGCATCCATGCCTTAAATTCAAGCCCTGCAATGGGGAGGGCAGGGGGGTGGGGGAGAAACACAAAAAAATTTCCATTGCTGAGCACTTGATGGCTCATGACTGTAATCCTAGCTACTCAGGAGACTGAGATCCAATGATCATGGTTCAAAGCCAACCAGGGCAAGAAAGTCCAATTAACCACAAGAAAACTGTAAGTACAGCTGTGGTTCAAAGGGGTAGAGCACTAACCTTGAGAAAAAGAGCTCAGGGACATGACCCAGGCCCTGAGTTCAAACTCTACAACCAACAAAATTTTAAAAATTAAAAATTAAATAAAAATAGAAATCTCCTTGACAAGCTGGGCACCCGTGGCTCACACCTGTCATGATAGCTACTCAGGAGGCAAAGATCAGAGGTCCGTGGTTGAAAGTCATCCTAGGCAGGAATGTCCATTAGACTCTTACCTCCAATTAACCACCAAAAAAATAAAAAATAAAACCCCAAAACAGAAATAAAGCTGTGGCTCAAATGGTAGAGAATATTTTGTCATTGAATAGGTTCAGAGATAGCACACAGGCCCTGAGTTCACGCCCCAGGACTGGCAAAGGGCCTTTATTTATAAATTGTATGGATACAAGTAAGCTGGATAGAAAAAAAGCTATCAATGTACATATACTAACTTGCAGAGAACATGAAATACTATCAAGTGAAAAAATCAAGTTAGGGAGAAATTATGTAATAGGATTCCATTTTGGGAAAACAACCAAGTGGCCAAACCTCCATTTAAAAAAAACATTTACTCTTATTTAATCTCACTTTCGATTCAGGAGAAATCAATTACATCAACTGTCCCCTACAGCTGATTAAGTTTAAACTCAATTTTATGTTAATCTAGAAAAAAGGAGTGCTCTGTACCCTACACAAGGACATCTTTGTTTCTGTACCCAAGATCTAGAGACAGAGTGAGCAGATTCTAGGCACAGTGCCCAAAGGTGAACTTCTACTTACAAAAAATGAAGGTGGGGGGATTAAAAAAAAACAAAAATTTGGGTACAGGTAGTAAGGCTATAAGTTGAAGCTGCTAAAGGAGTTAGGATGACAAAAGATTTCAAACAAGGTTGAACAGGTAATCTTCTAGATGATAACAATGAGAGAGAGAGAGAGAGAGAGAGAGAGAGAGAGAGTATGTGTGTGTGTGTGTGTGTGTGTGTGTGTGTGTGTGTGTGTGTGTGTGTGTATGTTGTAATCCTAGATGATAACAATGAAAGAGAGAGAGAGAGAGAGAGAGACTGTGTGTGTGTGTGTGTGTGTTGTAATCTCTAGATGATAACAATGAAAGAGAGAGAGAGAGAGAGAGACTGTGTGTGTGTGTGTTGGTCCTAGAGCTTGAACTCAAGACCTATGTGCTATCCTGAACCTTTTCACTAAAGAGTAGTACTCTACCACTCAGTCACAACTCCATTTGTGGCTTTTTTTGGTGCTTAATTGTAGATAAGAGTCTCACAGCCTTTCCTGCCTGGGCTGGCTTTGAACCATTATTCTCAGATCTCAAGTCTCCTTTGTAGCTAAGCAATTTACATTGTGCATTAATTTGTTCATCTACAAAAGGAGAATAATAAAAGAGTCAACAATGTAAACTGCATAACACATTATAATTACCAGGACATTTTAACTGTTGCAATTGCTTAAAAAACTCACCTTAGTTGGGCACTAGTGGTTCATGCCTGTAATCCTAGCTACTGAGGAGGCTGAGATCTTTGGAACATGGTTTGAAGCCAGCCCAGGCAGGAAAAGTCCATGAGACTCTTTATTTCTGATTATTCACCAAAAAAATCACAAGTGGAGGGCTGGGAAAGTGGCTTAGTAACAGAGTGTTTGCCTGGCATGTATGAAGCCCTGAGTTCAATTCCTCATTACCACATAAACAGAAAAAAAAAAAAAAAAGGCACCGTAGCTGAAGTGGTAGAGTGCTAGCCTTTAGAAAAAATAAAAAATCTCAGGGACAGTGCCCAGGCCCTGAGTTCAAGCCCCAGGACTGGAAAAAGAAAAAGAAAAAGCCACAAGTAAAGCTGTAGTTCAAGTGGTAGAGTACTAGCTTTGAGCACAAAAGCTCAGGGACAGTGCCCAGGCCCTAAGTTCAAGCCCCAGGAATAGCACATAAAACAACAACAAAACAGAAGGGCTGGGCACTGGTGGCTCACACCTGTAATCCTAGCTACTCAGGAGGCTGAGATCTCAGGATCATGGTTCAAAGCAAGCCCAAAAAAGAAAGTCCATGAGGAATCTTATCTCCAATAAACTACTTAGAAAAAGCCAGAAGTGGTGCTGTGGCTCAAGTGGTAGAATGCTAGCCTTGAGCACAAAGAGGCTCAGGGACCGCATACAGGCCCTGAGTTTAAGCCCCAGGACTGGCAAAACAACAAGAACAAAGGATGGGATGTAGTTCAGATGTAGTAGAACATTTGCCTAACATATACAATGAGGCCTTGCATTTCATCCCTGGTACACCAGAGCGAGGAGAAAGAGTGGAGGGGGGGGGAGGGAAGGGAGAGGAAGGAAGGTAGGAAGAAAAAAAAAAGAGAGGGGGGGAGGAAGGGAAGGAGGGAGATAGAAAGAAAGGAAAAGGGAAAGGGAAAAAGGAGCCAAAATGTACTAAAAGGGAAAAGTAGCAAAGATGTATTAACTTAAAAAGAAAATATTAAGCCAGGCACTGGTGGCTCACCTCTATAATCCTAGCTACTCAGGAAGCTGAGATCTGAGGATCATGGCTCAAAATCAGCCAGGGCAGAAAAGACTATGAGACTCTAATCTCCTATTACCCACCAGAAAATCAGAAATGGCACTGTGGCTCAAGTGCTAGAGCACTGGCCTTGAGCTGAAGAGCTCAGGGACAGCACCCAGGCCCAGAGTTCAAGCCCCACAACCAACAAAAAAGGAAAAAAAGAAAAGAAAGAACAAGCCATGCTGGGCGCCAGTGGCTCATGCCTGTAATCCTAGCTACTCAGAAGGCTGAGATCTGAGGATCATGGTGCAAAGCCAGCATGGGCAAGGAAAGTCCGTGAGACTCTTATCTCCAATAAACCACTAGAAAACCAGAAGTGGTGCTGTGGCTCAAGCAGTAGAGCGCTTGCCTTGAGCTGAAGAGCGAAGGGACAGTGCCCAAGCCCAGAGATCAAGCCCCACAACTGACAAAAAAAAAAAAGAAAAAGAAAAAGGCAGAAGCCAGTGGCTCATGCCATAATCCTAGCTGCTCCAGAGACTAAGAGCTGTAGGATTGAGGCTCAAGACCACTGTATAGGGCTGGGAAGGTGGCTCAGTGGTAGAGTGCTTGCCTTGCATGCCTGAGGCCCTGGGTTCGATTCCTCAGCACCACATAAGAAAAAAGCCGGAAGTGGCGCTGTGGCTCAAGTGGTAGAGCGCTAGCCTTGAGCTGAAGAGCTGAGGGACAGTGTCTAGGCCCAGAGTTCAGGCCCCAAAACCGGACCCAAAAAAAAAAAAGACCACTGTATAAAGAAACTCTCAAACAAGCAAAAAACAGGTCTGGAGGTGTGGTTCAAACAGTAGAGCAACAGCCAGGCAAGCGAAAGGTCCCAAGTTCAAATCCCAGTACTACCAACAACAAAAAAAACCTACGGGGGGGAGGGGGGAGGCTGGGAAGGGAGGTGAAGGGTAAACAAAGGAGGAGGCTGCAATGCTTGGTAAGAAATGTACGCATTATCCTGCCCATGTAATTGTAACCCCTCTGTACAGTATGTTCACAAAAAAAAAAAAAAAACCTACAAAGCAACATGAAGAACATGAAAAATGCAATCATTTTTGCAGACAAACTGTATGCACATATACAAACATAAACATTTTTACTCTTTGAATAGGAAAATATTCTGGAGTCACATTCGCCAAACAACCATAGGGTTGAGATTAAACTTTCTCTGGCATACCTTTAACATTCTAACACTGTTATTTTTTTTCTTTGTGATAGTATTGGGGACTCGAATTTAAAGCCCTATGCTGATGGCAGGTGCTCTACCACCTGAGCAACACTTCTACTTTCCATGTTTTGCTGGTTAGCAAGAGACAAAAGTCTTGTGGATTTGCATGCCCAAGCTGGCCTCAAACTATGATTCTCAAATCTCAGCCTCCTGTGTAGCTAGGATTATAGGCACTGTTGTTATTTTTATATATGTACTACTTTAAAAAATGGATAGGAGCCGGGCGCTGGTGGCTCACGCCTGTAATCCTAGCTACTCAGGAGGCTGAGATCTGAGGATCGAGGTTCAAAGCCAGCCCGGGCAGGAGAGACTGTGAGACTCCTATCGCCAATAAACCACCAGAAAACCGGAAGTGGCGCTGTAGCTCAAGTGGTAGAGTGCTCGCCTTGAGCTGAAGAGCTGAGGGACAGCGCCCAGGCCCAGAGTTCAAGCCCCACGGCCGACAAAAAAAAAAAAAAAAAAGGATAGGGGCTGGGAAGGTGGCTCAGTGGTAGAGCGCTTGCCTTGCATGCTCAAGGCCCTGGGTTCGATTCCTCAGCACCACATAAGCAAAAAGAAAAAAGCCGGAAGCGGCGCTGTGGCTCAAGTGGTAGAGCGCTAGCCTTGAGCTGAAGAGCTGAGGGACAGCGCCCAGGCCCGGAGTTCAGGCCCCATGACCGGACCCCCCCCCCCAAAAAAAAGGATAAATGGCCGTTGGTGGCTCACGCCTGTAATCCTAGCTACTCAGGAGGTTGAGTTCTGAGGACCATGGTTCAAAGCCAGCCCGGACAAGGAAAGTCCATGAGACTCTCATCTCCAATAAACCACTAGAAAATCAGAAGTGGCGCTGTGGTTCAAGCGGTAGAACGCTCGCCTTGAGCTGAAGAGCTGAGGGATAGCACCCAAGCCTAGAGTCCAAGCCCCACGACCAACGGGAAAAAAAAAAAAAAGAGGATAAATGTTAAAAGAAAAAATATCATTGATCCTTACCAATTACACAGCAGGTTTCTACACGATATTTATCAATTTCACAAAGGTTATGAGCCAAATAACTTAATTCAGATTTCATGCTCTGGGGGAAAAAAAAGAAAGATCATCTAAAAACTGCATCAATTTACCTTTCTTATAACTAATGCAAATAGGTAACAATCTAATTCAAGACACTAAAGCACAGAAGAGTTTAATCAAACCCGAGCAAAGGAAACAACTTATTACCCTGACATAAAGAAGGTTGGAGAATGTGTCCATATTTTCAATCCTATAAGGGTCTTGTTTCCTTAGCTCATTAAAAATGGAGAGGGCTTTGTCAATATCTGCCAAAAGAAGATAGAGGGTTCAGAAGATAATACAATGTACCTCTCAGGACCTAACAGTATTTCATTGTCCTTATTCACTTACCTCTGATATTGTGATAGGCAACGGCAATTTGGGAAACAATATATGAGCTCTTAGAAAAGCCCACATCAATGAGATTCTGATATTTTTGAAGGGCCTCCTCTATCAACTGCAATTCTGTATATATGTGAGCCAGAAAAAATTCTTTCATCCAAGTGTCTGGCAAAGACAGGAACTTCAGCTAGCAGAAGAGAGAATGGGGGGTGGTGGGTAGGGAAGAGGGGGGAGAGAAACATGCTTAATAAATTGATATTTCTCCCAAATGAACATTAAGGATCTTCATTGTCTCAAGGTATTTATCACTAAAATTGTATTAGTGCATCTAAAAATGAATACAGGGTAATTTAAGTGACAACTAAAATACAATTGGGATAAAATAAACTGAAAGAAAGAAAACAAACAAACAAGAATTTGAGGTAAAGCCGGCACACAGTTCAAAGCCAGCCCAGGCAGGAAAGTCCGTGAGACTTTTTTTTTTTTTGGCCGGTCATGGGGCCTGAACTCTGGGCCTGGGCGCTGTCCCTCAGCTCTTCAGCTCAAGGCTAGCGTTCTACCACTGAAGGCACAGCACCACTTCCAGCTTTTTCTGCTTATGTGGTGCTGAGGAATTGAACCCAGGGCCTCATGCATGCGAGGCAAGCACTCTACCACTGAGCCACCTTCCCAGCCCTGTGAGACTCTTATCTCCAATAAAAACCACTAGAAATCCGGAAGTGGCACTGTGACTTAAGCGGTAGAATGCTCGCCTTGAGCTGAAGAACGCAGGGACAGCGCCCAAGCCCAGAGTTCAAGCCCCACAACCGCCAAAAAAAAAACAAAAACAGAATTTGAGTCAAGTCTTAGAGGATGGGTAGGATTAAATAAAAAAGAGAGCCAGGCTCACATCTGTAATCCTATCTACTCAAGAGACTGAAATCTGAGCATCAGTGGTTCAAAGCCAGTCCAGCAGGAAAGTCTATGAGACTCTTACCTCCCAAAAACTACTCAGAAAAAGCGGAGAGTGATCCTCTGATTCAAGTGGTAGAGTGCTAGCCTTGAGCATAAAGAAGCTCAGGGACAGAGCCCAGGCTCAAAATTCAAGCCCCAGGACAAACAAGAGAGGTTGGGGGGGGGGGGGGGTGAGAAGTACAGGGAGAGAGGGAAAGAGAAACGGTGAGAGGGGGAGGAGGAGATGGGAGGGAGGAAGGGGGAGAGGGGGAGAGGGAGAATACAATATTATAGGCAAGGGCAACAAAATGGAAGTACAGGAAAAACAGACATGAATAAAGATAAGTAGAGCAGGAAACTAGTTTGATTTGAGGAAGCTATTTATTGGAAAAATATGATTGGACTGGTAAGGTAGATCCTATCATGCAACTGAAAATGATATGTAATAAAAACAACTGCAAATTTCTGCCAAAAGAATGATATAATAAAACTGGGTGCTGATGGCTCACACCTGTAATCCTAGCTGCTCAGGAGGCTGAGATCTGAGGATAGAGGTTCAAAGCCAGCTCAGAGAGTAAAGTCCATAAGACTCTTATCTCCAATAAACCACCAGAACTGGAAGTGGCGCTATGGCTCAAGTATAGAGCATTTGCCTTGAGCTGAAGAGCTGAGGGACAGTGCCCAGGCCCATAGTTCAAGCCCCATGACTGAAAAAAAAAAAAAAAAAAAAAAAAAAGAATGAGTAATAACGTGTTTAAGAAAAGTTAGAGGAGCCAGGCACTGGTGGCTCACACCTGTAATCCTAGCTACTCAGGAGGCTGAGATTTGAGGATCACGGTTCAAAGCCAGCCCAGGCAAGACAGTTCATGAGACTCTTTATCTCCAAAAACCACTCAGAAAACCAGAAGTGGCACTGTGGCTCAAGTGGTAGAGTGCTAGCCTTGAGCTGAAGAGCTGAGGGAGAGAGCCCAGGCCCAGAGTTCAAGCCCCACAACAGCCAAAAAAAAAAAGAAAAAAGAAAAAACGTTGAAGGGCTGGGAATGTGGCTTAGTGGTAGAGTGCTTGCCCAGCATGCATGAAGCCCTGGGTTCCATGCCTCAGTACCAGAAAAACAGAAAAAGCCAGAAGTAGCACTGTGACTCAAGTGGTTGAGTGCTAGCCTTGAGCAAAAGCAGCTCAGGGACAGGGCCGAGGCCCTGAGTTCAAGCCCCAAGATTGACAAAAAAAAAAAAAGTAACCCAAACTTGAGTGAGATGGCTTATGTTCAAGTTCTAAATTAACTGGCACCTTTCTCCCCAAAAGAAAAAAAATAGAGAAAGGAAATCTTCTCTTTGGAATCAGGAGAGAAACTACCGTTGAGTCTGTACAAGAAGTTACAGCAAATCTTGAATGTGAAAATATAAATATGAAAAACATTTTAAAATAAAGGGACATAGACTAATGAGAACTACTGAACAAGAGCTGTCATTATCAAATGATGATCAAGATTTCAAAACAGTGGAAGATGCTGCGTTATAACTAGTATAATCAAAGGTTAACATCATACCCCCAAACACACATTATTACAGATTATATAAAACTTAGAGCAGCTCATCTCAATTTACCATCTCTTTGTCTGTGATCAAGTTACAGAGTTCTAACCAGGCTCCCCAATGCAAAGGCAAAACATGAGTAGCCTCCACAAACACATCGATAGCTTCTTTCACCAAGTCTAGTTTTCGAAGCACAACACCATACCTGGAAAAAAAAGAAAATAATCACAAAAGAGGTTAATTCTTCTGTTCATTTCTTTTTTTTTTTTTTTTTACTAACATACATTAGTTGTACAAGGGAGGGGTTTCCATGGACACATTTAAATATATAATATACCCCCATCAATCATTCACCCCCTCTTCCTACCATTCTCTCTCAAGGAGTTTAATTCTTTTCCCTTCTATTTGAGAAATATAGAAAGTTCCAAAAAACCACAACACTTACAGATAAAGACCAAATCCATCAAGTTCCCGAGCTTGATGTTTTTTGCTGAGCTCCACTCTCAATTCTCTAAGAGCCTCATTTTTCACTTGTCCTTTCTCCAGAGGACCTAAGAAAGAAATTGTCTGATCTAAGGAAGAATGCTGATTTTCATTCTCAAAGATATGTATATATATGCATTATATATAATATGTATTATATATAATATATACATACATATGTGTCATATATAAATATATCTATATATATTGCTGTTAGCCTCAAACAAATTTTGCCTAAAACCTCTGGTAAATACAAGCAGTCAATAACATCTACCATAATCCATTTATTTGTAAATTACAAGTGATAATGCTCTGCAATCCTATTTCATTAAACCCACACAGTTGACTTTATTCAAATTAGTTACTGCTAAAAATCAGAAACTTCCATTAAAACAGAATTTTCAGTTTCAGTTTGTAAGAAACAGAAAAGAAATCCTTAGCAATGACAGGCCCAGATTTCCCATTAGGCAACACTGCTGCAGCTGAGATAAACTATGTAATTTACAATGTACAACAATTTGTATTACCTGCCTGAGTCAAATAGGCATATAACTTTGAAACCCTGCTTTTTAAGTCAAAAGATAACAACAACAAAAAAAAAATCATACCTAGGCTATCAACTGTTTCATCATCCTTCTTTTTCTCTCCAGACTGTAAGAGAAAAATTAACAAATGGATCTTTTTCAGTTAGATCTGAAACACATTCTAAAACTAGCAGCCTGATTCTACTTTAAGTAGAATTTGGTTGGTGTTGGACTTGTCCAACCAAATTTCATCTATTTTTTTGGTCACTAATTTTAAAAAATTATTCAGGAGCTCCTACTGGCTAAGACTGGGTAACTAAAGCAATAATGATTATAAACAATTAAAAATACAAGATCCATGAGTCATACTGATACCAAATAAATAAATGGGAAAAGGATGGTGCTGCTTAGAGTAGAATGACAAACTTCAAGAAACAAATGTGGAGAATACCAGAATGGAAAACATCATACAACATCATGATAAAGAGTACTTCTGCCAAGAATTAACAATTGATATTAAGTTTAAAAGAAATGTTTTAATGAAGTGTAGGTCTTAAAGTACATCCCCTTAGATTGTAGATTAATTCCAATTAAAAAAGAGTAACTACACAGTGGAGAAAATGTGCAACATTTGACCAAATAATAATTAAATTTAGGGCTGGGAAGGTGGCTCAGAGGTAGAGCGCTTGCCTTGCATGCCTGAGGCCCTGGGTTCGATTCCTCAGCACCACATAAGCAAAAATAAAAAAGCCAGAAGTGGCACTGTGGCTCAAGTGGTAGAGTGCTAGCCTTGAGCTGAAGAGCTGAGGAACAGTACCCAGGCCCAGAGTTCAGGCCCCACAACTGCACCCAAAAAAAAAATAATAATAATAATTAAATTTAATACCCTGGTCTGGGGGCTATAGCTCTGTACCAGAACATGGGGGCTTAGCATATCCAAGGCTCTAGGGTTTGATCCATCATCATACAGAAAAAGAGAGTGTAACAGTGAGAGAAAAAAGATTGGGGGTAAATACCATTACCATTATTTTTAAAAGATACAAACAGAAGCAGTTCATACTAAAGTTATCATGACATCAAATTCGTCAGAGAGTAAGACATTTTGTTTATGAGTATGCCTATATCACACAAGTGTGGAGATAGAAATGACAAAATATATGTGAATGCCAGGCAAGGTGGAGCATACACAGAACCCTAGCATTCAAAAGGTAAGGCAGGATTGAGATTTAAAGTCCAGCGAGTGCTATATACTAAGTTCAAAGCCAGCCTAAGGGAGCTGCTGTCTCAAAATCCAAGGGCTGATCCTGGTACACACCTATAATCCTAACTATTCAGGTGGCTGAGATCTGGAGGACTTTGGTTAAAAACCAACCTAGGTAGAAAAGTTTGCAAGACTCCATCTCCAAAATACCTTAACAAAAATTAGGTTGAAGGCATAACTTTAACAGTAGAGTACCTGAGTTCATACCCTTATACTGACACACTGATATATATCTCTCTCTCTCTCTTCTCTCCCTATCCCCCTCCCCTCCCTCTCTTTTTCTCTCTCAGGGATGGGGATATAGCCCATGAATAGAGTACTTGTCGAGCATATACAAGGCACTGAATGACTGGATCCCTAATAATATCAAAAAAAAAAGGAAATTTCATATATATTTTACACAATAAAAATACAGAATTAGGAACACAGAGACTTTAGGTTCTGAGTGAATTCAAACACCAGTACTTTAAAAAAAAAAAAAAAAAAAAAATGAGCCAGGAGTTGGGACATATATATGTAATCCTTCCACTTGGGAGAAGAAAAAAGGAGGATCAAAAATCCAAGCTTGGGCAGGGAATGTGGCTTAGAGGTAGAGTGCTTGACTTGTATACACAAAACCCTGGGTTCAATTCCTCAGTACCACACAAACAAGAAAAGCTGAAAGTGGCACTGTGGCTCAAGTGGTAGAGTGCTATCAAAGACAATGCCCAGGCCCTGAGTTCAAGCGCAGGACTGGCAAAAAATAATAATAAAACCAAAAATTCTAAGCTTGGCTGGGTGCTGGTGGCTGTAATCCTAGCTACTCAAGAGGCTGAGATCAGAGGATTGCCGGTTCAAAGCCAGCCTGGGCAAGAAAGTCCATTAAGAGTTTTATCTCCAATACACTACTCAGAAAAAGCCAGAAGTAGTGCTGTGGCTCAAAGTGGTAGGGAGCTAGCCTTGAGCCAAAGAAGCCCAGGGACACAGTGCAGGCCTAGAGTTCAAGCCCCAGAACCAGCAAAAAAAATTTTAAAAAAATTTTTTTCCAGGCTAATCTGGGCTATAGATAAGACCCTATCTCAAAAAACAAAAATAAATAAATAAAACTAAAAACAATTGGGGGAGGGGGATGAAACAGTGCAAACCACAAAAAGCTGCCATACTTGACTAAGACAATATCTAAAAATAAGGACTATATAATTGGATTTTTTTTTTTTGCCAGTCCTGGGGCTTGAACTCAAGGCCTGGGCACCGTCCCTGAGCTGCTTTTACATGAGGCTAGCATTCTACCACTTGAGCCACAGCTCCACTTCCGGCTTTTTCTGTTTATGTGGTACTGAGGAATGGAACCCAGGGCTTCATGCATGCTAGGCAAGCACTCTACCACTAAGCCACATTCCCAACCCTAACTGGATTTTTTGTTATTGTTGTTTTTGTTGCCAGTATTGGACTTGAACTCTGGGCTAGGGCACTGTCCAGAGTTTTGCTCAAAGATATCACTCTATGACTTGATTCACAGATCCACTTCTGACATTTTGGTTTAATTGAAGAATCTTACTTTCCTGCCCAGGCGTCTTCTATCTTCAATCCTCAGATCTCAGCCACCTGAGTAGCTAGGATTATAGACATGAGCCAGCAGCTCACAGCTTAATATTTTTTTTAAAAAATCCATTTACACATAAAATAAGGAAAAGTAGAAAGATATATTCAAAAAGTTCCAAAATAAAATTATACTTCAGTCAGGTGTTTGGTAATTTCAGAACTCAGGAGGCTGCTTCAGGAGAATCACAAGTTCCAGACCAGCCTGTGTTACACAGTAAGATCCTGTCTCAAAAGAACAAATAAGCATACACATGTTTAATTACTATCAACAGTACTAATTTTACTTGCATTCACAATTTTAATAGCCATGAAATAAAATATCATATTACAAATAAAGCGATAATATTATAAATTAAAAATCAAACACAGGGGGGCTGGGAAGGTGGCTCAGTGGTAGAGTGTTTGCCTTGTATGCATGAGGCCCTGGGTTCAATTCCTCAGCACCACATAAGCAGAAAAAGCTGGAAGTGGGGCTGAGGCTCAAGTGGTAGAGCGCTAGCCTTGAGCTGAAGAGCTGAGGGACAGCTCCCAGGCCCAGAGTTCAGGCCCCACAACCGACCAAAAAAAAAAAAAAAAATCAACACAGAAGTGAGAACAGCTTACACTAAGCTAAAGGAAAGAAATGTTCATATCACTTGATTAAAAAAAAAAGCTATAGTGTCCAAGTTTGTAGAATCCATAAGCTTTATAGACCACGATGACAGCTGGGTGCCTGTGGCTCACACCTGTAATCCTAGCTACTTTGAGGATTGCATTCAAAGCCAGCACAGGCAGAAAAATCCATGAGACTCTGACCTCCAATAAACCACTCAGAAAACCGGAAGTGGCATTGTGGCTCAAGTGGTAGAAAGCTAGCCTTGAGCGGAAGGGCTCAGGGACAGTGCCCAAGCCCAGAGTTCAAGCCCCACGACAGACAAAAAATAAAAATAAATAGACCATGGCTGGGAAGGTGGCTCAGTGGTAGAGCGCTTGCCTTGCATGCATGAGGCCCTGGGTTCAATTCCTCAGCACCACATAAGCAGAAAAAAAAAACGCCAGAAGTGGCGCTGTGGCTCAAGTGGTAGAGTGCTAGCCTTGAGCTAAAGAGCTGAGGGACAGAGCCCAGGCCCAGAGTTCAGGCCCACAACCGGACCCTAAATAAATAAATAAATAAATAAATAAATAGACTGTGATGACAATGTTCCTCGTGAAAGTTAAAATGTGTTTGACTTTAACTAAGTATCATTATCCCACAATACTGTGAAATTTGTGAAATTTATATAATCACTTAATCTCAATAAAGAAAAAAAATATTGGGCTGGGAAGATGGCACAGTGGTAGAGCGCTTGCCTTGCATACCTGAGGTCCTGGGTTCAATTCCTCAGCACCACATAAGCAAAAATAAAAAAGCCGGAAGTGGTGCTGTGGCTCAAGTGGTAGAGTGCTAGCCTTGAGCTGAAGAGCTGAGGGACAGGGCACAGGCCCAGAGTACAGGCCCCATGACCGGACCCAAAAAAAAATATATATATATTGCCACATGTGTAAGAATGTTAAAAGGTGTGACACTGATCAAGAGGCACTGTATTTTATAAACTGCTCTGTTGAATGGCAACTCCTTTGTACAACTACTTAAAGAAAATAAAAATATATTATAAAAAAACCAACACAAGTCAGGTATCAGTGGCTCCTGCCTGTAATCCTAGCTACTCAGGAGGCTGAGATCTGAGGATCGCAGTTCAAAGCCTGCCTGGGCAGGACCATGAGACTCTTATCTCCAATAAACCACCAGAAATGCAAAAGTGGCGCTGTGGCTCAAGAGGTAGAACACTAGCCTTGAGCTAAAGACCTTAGGGACAGCACTCAAGCCCAGAGGTCAAGCCCCACAACCAACCAAAACAGAAAAAAAAAAAAATCAACACAATTTACTGCACAGGAAATGGCTCACTGTATTGCTACATCCCAATCAAACTCTCTCCTCCTTCATCTTTCTCCTTCACTTTCTCAAAACAATTTCTTAGTCAGCTGTTGGTGGCTCATGCCTGTAATACTAGCAACTCAGGAAGCTGAGATGTAAGGATTATTATTTCTAGCCCAAGCAGGAAAGTCCAAAAGACTCTTATTTCCAATTAAGCTCCAAAAAAGCCAGAAGTCAAGCTATGGCTCAGGTAGTAGTGTGTTAGCCTTGAGCAAAAAAGCTCAGAGCAGCCAGGTGCTGGTGGCTTACTTCTATAATCCTAGCTACTCAGGAAGCTGAGAAATAAGATCAAGGTTCGAAATCAACCTAAGTAGGAAAGTCTCTTATCTCCAATAAACTACTCAGGAAAAACTCAGAAATAGCGCTGTGGCTCAAAGTTTTGAGCACTAGCTTTGAGTACAAAGAGGTTCAAGGACAGCACCCAAGCCCCATTTTCAAGCCCCAGGACTTGCACAAAAAAAAGCAACAACAAAAATTAACCTAATACTAAACACTTACAGACATGAAGAACATTATATAATTATCCTGTTAATATCAGTCACAGGTGCCTACTGGTACTAATGATAAAAATCAAGATTTTGTACTTGCATTGAAGGTGTTAGACAATAGCTCTACCCCTTTTTGCTTTAGTTGTTGTTCAAATGACCAGGTTAGCTTAGACCAGCATTCTCTTATTTGGGCTTTCTACATAGTTGAGATGACTGCTACATACCACCAAAACCCAGCTACTGTCTGGACTAGCCAAGCCACAATCCTCTTAAACTGGAGTTATAGGTATGAGCCACCATGCCCAGCTCCATGTAGCCATTATTATAAAACTTTACTTTTCATTCATTTTTATTACCATTAAACACTTAGAAAGTACATTTACTGGGGTTAGAGGCATGGTTCAGTTGGTAGAAAACCAGCAGCAGGTACCAAGTTCTAGTACCAGTCTCAGACAAAAAAATATATAAAAAATAAAAATGTACATATACTTGGTGGCCCATTTTCAATCTATTTAAAAGGTTAAACCTTTCCCACTTGGTTCTAAATATAAATGTTTCATTGAAGAAAAAACATGGGGCTGGGAGTTGGCCCAGTGGTAGGGTGCTTGCCTTGCATGCATGAGGCCCTGGGTTTGATTCCTCAGCACCACATAAGCAGAAAAAAAAGCTGGAAGTGGCGCTGTAGCTCAAGTAGTAGAATGCTAGCCTTGAGCTGAAGAGCTGAGGGACGGTGCCCAGAGTTCAGATCCCATGACTGACCAAAAAAAAAAATAACATTTAAAATGGTCCTTACCAGATATCTGGAATACATGAACAAGAAATAGGCTTTCTTGCTATTGCAGCCATGTAAGAAATGTGCTGCCCGATCATATTCTTTAACATCAAAGTAGGCCTTGGCCAGGGTGTAAGCATCCATATCCTGGGCATCCTCCTATGAGACATATGTACATAGTGATCAGAAATAGAACATCTGAAGTTCAAATATAAAAAGCATATTAATTGCAACACAAAAGAAAACATGATTTTTCTCCTCCCCTAAACCTAATATATGTATATGTATAGATATTCATCACACAGCATTTCTAAATTATTATCAAGGAGTTATAGAAAGGAGTAGAATTCCATAAATTCCATAAATCAGGTTATGAGTACAATGCTTTTTGGACAATGTCATTCCTTCTTATTTTTCACCCATTTTCCCCTTCCTGTCCCTACCTACAAGTTACATAGTTCATTTTTTACATAGTGTATATTGAATACCATGACTGCATTTTCTCACCCTTCCTCCCTCCATTCCTCCCCTTCCCCCACCCCCAAAAAACATGTTTCCATCTCCTGGTATTCGTTTTGATAAACAGTACTTTGGTTGTTCACAGAATTTATACCTTTGGATTATTTTCCCCAAGTATATCCTTCTTTGGTCAGTTTGTGTATAGAAGTATTTTTATATATTTATTACCAGGGAAAGTCAAAGAGCCTCTTTCCAAAATATATTTCCAGAACAAAGAGTTGAAGAAAAAGTGAAAATTTTACAATTAAACCAATATCCTAAAGAAACATGTACTGTTTATACAAATGTATTAGAAACTGCATGATAAAGTTTATTGTCAGGAATATGAATTCAAGTTTGACTCCTTGATTTGCTTGTTTCATTACACAAGTAGAGGTTACTTAGCTTTTCTTTTTTTTTTTTTTTTTGTCGGCCGTGGGGCTTGAACTCTGGGCCTGGGCGCTGTCCCTCAGCTCTTCAGCTCAAGGCAAGCGCTCTACCACTTGAGCTACAGCGCCACTTCCGGTTTTCTGGTGGTTTATTGGAGATAGGAGTCTCACGGTCTCTGCTGCCCGGGATGGCTTTGAACCGCGATCCTCAGATCTCAGCCTCCTGAGTAGCTAGGATTACAGGCGTGAGCCACCAGCGCCTGGCTTTTTTTTTTTTTGGTCGGTCGTGGGGCTTGAACTCTGGGCCTGGGCGTTGTCCCTCAGCTCTTCAGCTCAAGGAGAGCACTCTACCACTTGAGCTACAGCGCCACTTCCGTTACTTAGCTTTTCTAAGCATCTATTACTTCTTCTGTAAAGTGAAACAAATACTATCAACCTTACAGAGATGTTATTAGGAAAAAGACAAATAAAATGTCCAACATTAATATTTGGCATTTCTTCTCCTGTGTTTGAAATTTTTACATAAATTCTGTGCAATTACTTGTTTTGCATTTTAATGGTTTTGTCATATAGTTATTTCAGAACAGGGTTTTTTATTTTTTGGGGGGTCCAGTCGTGGGGCCTGAACTCTGGGCCTGAGCGCTGTCCCTCAGCTCTTCAGCTCAAGGCTAGAGCTCCACCACTTGAGCCATAGTGCCACTTCGGGCTTATGTGGTGCTGAGGAATCGAACCCAGGGCCTCAAGCATGTAAGGCAAGCGCTCTACCACTGAGCCACCTTCCCAGCCAGAGAACACGGTTGTTTTTGTAGTACTAGAGACTGAACTCAGGACCCTGTGCTTTAAGCAGGTTCTCTACCACTTGAGCCACACTACATCAGCTACTTTTCAATAGTTCTATAGTTCTTGCATTTATGCCTAGGAACGCATGAACTACAACCCTCTTTATTTATGCTTTCCACATAGTAACTGGAATGACATGCACACTCCACCATGATCAGTCTTTTTTTTTCTTTGTTGTTTTTAATGTAATATATGATTTGTTATTTGTTTTTTCTTTTGCAATTCCAGAATTTTATTTTTTTATTATGAAAATACCAGATAGAGGGGTTACAATTACATGGGTAAGATAACGAGTATATTTCTTAGCAAGCATTGTTGCCTCCTCCTTTGTTTCCCCTTCCCATCTCCCACCTCCACCCCCAGTCTTTCTTTTTGATGGTTAATTGGAGGTAACAGTCTCACAGACTTTCCTGCCTAGGCTGGCTTCTAACTGCAATCCTCAGATCTCAGTCTCCTGAGTAGCTAGGATTACTGTGGTAAGCCACTGGTGCCTGGCTTTTGTTTTGTTTTGTTTCATTTTGTTTTGGCGGTTTTTTTGGTGTTGTTCCTCAGGCTTGAACTCAGAGCCTAGGACTGTCCCTAGCTTCTTTTGCTCAAGACTAATGTTCTACCATCTAAGCCACAGCTCCACTTCCAGCTTTTCTGGTATTTTTTTGGAGAGAAGAGTCTCCTGGACTTTACTGCCCTGGCTGGCTTCAAACTATGATCTTCAGATCTCAGCCTCCTGAGTAGCTAGGATTACAAGCGTAAGCCACTGGCACCTGGCCATGCCAAGTTTTTTACTGGTTGAAATGATATCTAAGGAACTTTTTGTCTAGGCTGGCTTCACAGTCCCAATCTCCATTTCCTAAGTAGGTGCAATGACAGAAGTCATATATGTATATGTATGTACATACATACATATATATATATATGTATATATATATATATCCTTCAAATTCTAGGAATGAGTATATTAAAATCTGAGAAACTTCATTCTTTTTATCTTTGTCCTAATATCATCAGTACAAAACTAGAATCCAAACATATTCAGTGTCCTTTTTCCTCCATTTAGCAACATGTCCTAACTGTGGCCACTGACCTTGGGATTCTGGTGTCCTTTCACATCTGTTCACCAATTGCTTCTTTTCCCCTCACCCCTCTCCTGGATTATCATTTCTGAGTAAGAATTACTCAGGGTTTTTTTTTGTTGTTGTTGTTTTTTGGTTTTTGTTTTGTTGAGTAGGGGAAATAAATCAAGAAATATCATCAAGGAAAAAAAAATGGACTAGCCCAGCACCGGTGGCTCACGCCTGTAATCCCAGCTACTGAGGAGGCTGAGATCTGAGGATCACGGTTCAAAGCCAGCCTGGGCAGGAAAGTCCATGAGACTTTTTTTTTTTTTTGGGTCAGTCATGGGGTTCAACTCTGGGCCTGGGCACTGTCCCTCAGCTCTTCACTGTCCCTCAGAGCAAGTGTGCTACCACTTGAGCCATAGCACCACTTCCTCCGTGAGACTCAACTCCAATAAACCACTAGAAAACCGTAAGTGCCGCTAGAAAACCGTAAGTGGCTCAAGCAGTAGAGCACTCACCTAGAGCTGAAGAGCTCAAGGATAGATGCCAAGCCTAGAATTCAAAACCCACAACTGGCCAAAAAAAAAGGACTATGATGAAAATCATACTGATCATGCCAAACTATGTTTATACACAGAATGGGCCACATAAAAGATATATTCAGCTGGGAGCCAGTTGCTCATGCTTATAATCTTAGCTACTCAGGAGACTGAGATCTGAGAATGGGGACAGAAAAGTCTCTGTGAGACTCTTATCTCCAATTAACATCTCAAAAACCAGAAGTGGTGTTGTGGTTTACAGTGGTAGACCACTAGCCTTGAATGAAAGAGCTCCAGGACAGCACCCAGGCCTTCAGTAACTCTTTACAGACCAAAGTTTTAAGGTTTAATCTACTTTAAACTTTAGATCAAAGCTCAATAAGATTCAAGTGTTTCTGGATGTTTTCTTTCTTTTTTTGTCAGTCGTGGGGCTTGAACTCTGGGCCTGGGCACTGTCCTTCAGCTCTTCAGCTCAAGGTGAGTGCTCTACCACTTGAGTCACAAGGCCACCTCCAGTTTTCTGGTGGTTTATTGAAGATAAGAGTCTCATGGATTTTCCTGTCCGGGCTGGCTTTGAACCTCGATCCTCAACTCTCAGCCTCCTGAGTAGCTTGGATTATAGGCATAAGCCACCAGCACCCAGCGTTTGGATTTTTCCAGACAAGAAAGCACAGCCCATCAAATTAGCAATGAAGCTATTAAATCAAAACACTTCATAGCAAGTTGTAAACTATTAAACTAACCAATTAGTTAATGCTCTAGTAATCCAATTCACTCAACAATGCTTTTCCCAATTCAGGAACCTCAATGCACCTAGACACTGTAGACAAAGGGAAGTAAAAATTAGTAAGAAATAAATCACAATGACAACTGTGGTCAAATTAGAATGTATGTTTTACTCTCAACTTATTTACTCTTGAAAACCCAGTGAAATGGGAAGGGGAAACAAAGGAGGAGGCTACAATGCTTGATAAGAAATGCACTCATTATCTTGCCCATGTAATTGTAACCCCTCTGTACAGTATTTTCACAATAAAAAAATAAAGAAAAAAAGAAAACCCAGTGAAGTAAGGAGGTCAGCTCTGGCTGGCACCATATTGGCCACATGGTGGGTTATAGGTCTGGCATCTTGTCTTCATGCTGGGGGAAGACCCCCTCCTTACCTACCCCCCCCCCCCATTACCTGCCTCCCAGGTAATGGGCGTGCCCAGATCCCTGGAGACAGGGGCAGGCACTTGGCAGATAAATTACTCAATCTGTCAGTCCAGTGCCTGGGACTGGGAATTTGCAGAGGATCTGCCCCCTGTGATGACCTATTTAGGCCCAGACCAGCCTAGCCACCAGGACTCCAAGCCTTATGTGTCTCTGTGATTGTGTCCTGTGTCCAGAGCCCTGGCTCCTCTCCCGTCATCATGGTGTCCCAATTCAGCTCTCCATGGGAGCTAACTTGGCTTGTACTGTTTTTGTTATTTCTTTCCTCTTTAGCATGTTTCCAGACTGTTACGTGTATTTGCATGCTGCAGGCCTTTGTAACAATGGGTGGCCTGCAGCCTGCTAACTGTATAATAAAGGCTCCAAATATTCTATATTTTAAAATGTGGCTTCTGGGATGATTTACTTTACAACACCAATAGTAATTAATATTAGACTACCTACACTGATGCTGTTAGTTTAAGAACATGACAGGAGGGCTGGGAATGTGGCTTAGTGGTAGAGTGCTTGCCTAGCATGCATGAAGCCCCGAGTTTGATTTCTCAGTACCACATAAACAGAAAAAGCTGGAAGTGGTGCTGTGGCTCAAGTGGTAGAGTGCTAGCCTTGAGCAAAGGAAGCTCAGAGACACTGTTCCGGCCCTGAATTCAAGCCCCAGGACTGGCAAAAACAAAAAACAAAAAAACAGATCATGACTGGTGCAGGCATGACTATCAGTGTAATTGAATCCAGTTCTAGGGAGTACATAAAAAACATTTTTAATTTTAAAAATACATAAAAACACCATTCGAGAAGTGAAGGCAGGGGCTGAGAAGGTGGCTCAGTGGTAGAGCGCTAATTTGGAGGGGAAAAAAAGACTACAATATAGATGCAAATCTACTGGAAAATCGTAAGAGTATGAAATGATGTTCACTTAAAACCTCAATATTTCTACTTTCCTAATTTCATGATACACTAGTCTGGGATCTGAACAGAAAACTTCATCCCCTTTTCTTGCAATGTCTATCAGACAGGCAGCCTCCTGAGGAATTCGTTTCACACAACAAGTTGGAAATCTTCGATTCTTTTTCTTACGAATTCTTTCGAATATTGTGGCGTTACAAAATCTAAAAACGGGGCTGGGAAGGTGTCTCAGTGGTAGAGCGCTTGCCTTGCATGCCTGAGGCCCTGGTTTCCATTCCTCAGCACCACATAAGCAGAAAGAAAAAAGCCGGAAGTGGCGCTGTAGCTCAAGTGGTAGAGTGCTAGCCTTGAGCTGAAGAGCTGAGGGACAGCATCCAGGCCCAGAGTTCAGGCCCCACGACCGGACCCAAAAAATAAAATCTAAAAACTGGTATCTTCGGCATTGGCTGTTTGCTAATTCCCTCAGGTTTAAATGCGAGCGTACCAAACTGTTCCAATGCTCGAGAAAACCACACAGACAAAACGGGTGGTCTGGCCGCCCGGCGATTTTAATGCTCGCTTTTCCTCCCCACAATCCCGCTAGCAGCGGGCTCCGCTCCGGAGGCCCCGGGCGCTGCGGACCTCGGAGGCCCAGCCCTCGGCTGATGGAGAGCACAGGTGGTCGTGCTGGCCTAAGACGCCTTTCCGCTCTGGTGGGTGTTAGACGCTTTTGCCTCGGTGATGGGGTGGGGTGGGAGAGGCGTGTTAGACGACCTTACCTCGGTGAGGGGCGGCGGCGGCTGCAGCTCCGCTAACGGCAGCGCGGGGAGCGAGAAGGCCAACTCCGCCGACCTGGAACGCCACACAAACTGCATCAGCCGGACAAGGCCGCCCAGCAAGGCCCAAGAGCCAGCCCCGTCCCTCCCGACCGCGACTTCTCACCATTTGCTACTGTGTAGCAGGCCCCGCTCCCGAGTTAGACCCGCAATAAGCAACAGCTGCTTTTTAATTTCCCGCAAATCTGAGAAATCTGCGTTCGTGGATAAACCCGGCATCACGGCCGCCGGCCCTGCCACGGCGACCACGGAGGTACTCGCAGCCATTTTCCTCACTTTGGCCTCTCTAGCCAATCAACAGCGAGAATACTTAGCTGCCTGTCCGCAAGGGGGGGAAAAAAAGCCTGCTGGCCATTGGTCAGTTCTAATCAAGAGCTCAATTACATCCCTGGTTGGTCAAGAGTCAATGCTGCGGGAAAATTAGAACAGGAAGTGAGAGGTAGGCGGGCTCTGAGCTGGGGGGAGGGGGGTGAGGAATGGGGGTTTGGAAAGGTGAGATTGGAAGTTAGAGCAATTAAAAAAAAAAAAAAGAAGAGGGGAAATGTGATTGGGCAAAAATAGAAAGGGTATGGTTTCTGGGCAGATTCTGTGCCAGGGGATGACAGTAATGTGTGTGTTGCAAGAAGGATGGGTGGAGAACTGGAGGCATGGCCCTAGTTCAAAACTCTCCTCTCACAGTGTCTCCCCCCCCCCTTTTCTCCCTTCCCCCTCTTCCCTTTCCCCTCTCTTTTCCTATCTTTCTCCTCTCTCTCCAATAAACTACTTTTTTAAAAAGCCAGAAGTACCAAGCTCAGAGAGACAGGTTGTTTTCTCTCATACATGGAAGCTAGATCTAAATACAATTGGACATCACTTATACAGGATTCTAGGCACTCACAAACAGCCTAAAGAATACCATTTGGAGAGGAACCCAAAAACATAAGTCCTCTGAACAATTAAAATACTATTTATCAAAACAAACTGTAGGCCCCGTGCCTGTAAACCTAATTACTCAGAAGACTGAGTTTGAAGCCAGTCTGGGCAGAAAAGTCCAGGAAACTATTATCTCCAATTAAATACACACACACACACACACACACACACACACACACACGCACGCGCGCGCCAGAAGTGGGACTGGAAATGTGGCTTGGTGGTAGAGTGCGTGCCTAGCATGCATGAAGCCCTGAGTTCTAGTCCCCTACCACATAAATACAAGAAGCTGGAAGTTGGCTGGGAAGGTGGCTTAGTGGTAGAGCGCTTGCCTTGCATGCATGAGGCCCTGGGTTCGATTCCCTAGCACCACATAAGCAAAAAAAAAAAAAAAAAAGCAGGGACAGTGCCCAGGCCCAGAGTTCAGGCCCATGACCGGACCCAAAACAAAAAGCTGGAAGTGGCACTGTGGCTCAAGTGGTACAGCTAGCCTTGAGCACAGAGAGGCTCAGGGTCAGTGCCCAGACCACAAGTTCAAGCCCCAGGACTTCCTCCCCCCCCCCAAAAAAAAAAGTCAAGTGGAGGTATGACTCAAGTGGTAGAGCTCAAACTCTAACCTTGAGCACAGAGGCTCAGGGATAGCACCCAAGCCCCATGACCACCATCACCACCACCACCCCCAACAACAAAATAACAACAAAAACAACTAGAAGTGGAGCTGTGGTTCAGCTATAAAGTGCTAGCCTTGAGGGAAAAAAAAAAACAAACCACCTTGGGAACCTTGGGACAGAGCCTAGGCCCTGAGTTTGCACGCACACGCGCGCGCACACATACACACACACACACACACGGTGAGGGGTTCAGGAGAGAATCTAGAATCTAGATTGTAATGTAGATTGGATTCCCAAGTTCAGTGCTCTTAAATGAAGAGGCTGGAGGCCTTTGCCTGGATTTGATTCCCTATATGCAAACAAAAAAATTACAGCAAGATTTATATACCTAGTTGGTGGTTCATGCCTGTAGTGGCAGGCTACTGAGACCAGCTTGGGCAACATAGTAAGAGCTTGCCTCAAAAAAAATCCAAAATAAAACATACATAGTAATATACTGTGTATACATAGTATATTAATATTACAATATATTACTATATGTTATATTGATATGCCAAGACGCAGACACCCCCCCCAAAGACCACCAGGGAGCCATCGCTGATGTAAATTCATGAGAGTCATTTATTACAGCTCAAGCCAGACTCACAACTCTTCCTGACGCAGCAGGTTGGAAATTGTGAGCCCTGACCCCTTGTCCAGCAGGGTTTTTATTGAGTGTGTAGCAGGGGGAAGGATGTCTCAAGCTCATTGGTTAGGTGAATGATCATTTCCAGTAAGGACAGGAACTTTCTAGTTTAGCAGTTACAGGGTAGATTAAATCATACATCATTGGTTGGATAAATGGGGCTAACCACAGGAATACTGAATTATGTCTTTTTTGGGGGAGAGGGTCCAGTCGTGGGGCCCGAACTCTGGGCCTGGGCGCTGTCCCTCAGTTCTTCAGCTAAAGGCTAGCACTCTACCACTTGAGCCACGGCGCCACTTCTGGGTTTTTTTTTTTTTTTGCTTATGTGGTGCTGAGGAATCGAACCCAGGGCCTCATGCATGCAAGGCAAGCGCTCTACCACTGAGCCACCTTCCCAGCCCCTGAATTATGTCTTGTCCTAAATGTTTTCCCAACAGAGAAAACAGAGGAGAGACCAGTCAGTGCGTCCTGATCCCTTAATAATTCTTTCTTTTTTCCAGTATAATTTTATATTACTTTACAGGTAACAAACCTTCACGCACATCACAACCCTGCTCAGAAGCTTGTATTTACACACAGTTGTACATATTTACATGTCAACAAGGGTAATCTAAAATGAGACTCCTCTCAGTATGTTTTCCTTGTACATTATTCAACTGATACCTTTTAAAAATTATTTCCCCATAATCTGGAGTACTTCCCAGCCCACACGTGAATACTGTTTGCATTTGCATTAGAAGCTTTCCCCATGAGGATTTCCTTTCCCTCGTTCCCAAGCAACATCTTCCCCCAAATCTTCTTCTGGTTCCCTCCCATTCAGGCCACCAGTCTGGGCACTGGCCTCGGTGGTCTAGGCTCTGTCTGGAGCACCTCTCCCTGACTGGCCGTTCTCAGGAGTCCAGTTACAACTGCTCTTGATTTTCATTGAGTCTTAACATTAGTTGCTGCTCATAGTAAAGGCTCTTTGCATAGTTTATTTCTTGTGACAGATGATCTCTTAATAATTCTTACTGTTATCTTGCCTTGGTGCAGAATCTAACACTTACTTTCCAGTAACAGATGACAAATCTTTTCCTTATAGTTTTGTCTGAAATTACTGCTAAACTTATTTTTGGTCTCTCAAAATATTATTTCATATTATAATATATTATATATAATATATCTTATTATAATATATTATTGTAATCACAATATTATCTATTATATAAGATCATATTATATACTATTATATAGCATATAATAGTATATATTATAATACTATATGTTACATATATTACTATATAATATACATAATATATTACTATATATACTTACATAGTAAGTAGTATACATTATTTTCTCACTAACTCTATTGAGGTATTTTTTAGCTATTTTATCATTGTATGAAAGTTATTTAAAGTCATGTAAGGAAAGTCATTTTATATCAATGTATTATTGAGGATTATATTATAATGTGAGCTTTATTGCTTTTTAGTATATAAACATATGGAGATAAATTCTATTATTATTACTATTATTATTGCGATGCAGAGAAATATAGAACTTAAGAATGTGAACTCTGGGGCTGGGAATGTGGCTTAGGGGTAGAGTGATTGCCTAGCATTCATGAAGCCCTGGGATCCATTCCTCAGTACCACAGAAACAGAAAAGGCTGGCTCAAGTAGTAGAGTGTTAGCCTTGAGCAAAAGAAGCTCAGAAACAGTGCCCAGGCCCTGAGTTCAAGCCCCAGGCAAATGAGAAAAAAAAAACAAACAAAAAAAGAATGTGAACTTGGAGTCCTACTATATGGGTTCAGATCATTAATTGATAAAATGAAGCTAATAATAATTTCTGCTATCCATTAGGGAGAATTAGGATTTTAAAACAATTTTAACATGTAGTAAATAGTGCTGACAAACTATTGTTGAACACACCCCCATCTAGGATCTTGACATGTGTAATCACAAATCTTCTTGACTACTCTGAAAGAGAGGAATCATTCTTCCTATTTTTAACAGGCTCAGATAGCAATTTATTCTAATTAAAGTCCATATTATTTGTCCATAAATAAAGCTGAGCACTAGTGGATCATGCATGTAATCCTAGCTACTCAGGAGGCTGAGATCTGAGGATCATGATTCAAAGCTAGCTGGGGCAAAAGTCTATGAAGCTGTTATCTCCACTTAACCACCAAAAAGCCAGAAGTGGAGGTGTAGCTCAAATGATAGAGTACCAACCTTGAGCAAAAAAAGCAAAAAAACCTTAACACACACACACACACACACACACACACACACACACACACAGCTTCCAACTATGAATTATAAAACAAAGTCTATGGTAAGATTTTACACAGATTATTTAACTCTTAAATAAACATTATCTGGTTAATATTCTCACAAGCCAGTAAAATCGTTATTGTTATTAATTAGACCCATTTTACAGATAAGGATACAGAGGCCTATAAGATTAAATTAAATTAAATTAGACAAGCGCTGGTGGCTCACACCTGTAATCCTAGCTACTCAGGAGGCTGAGAGTTGAGGATCGAGGTTCAAAGCCAGCCCTGGCAAGAAAGTCTGTGAGACTCTTAGCTCCAATAAACCACTAGAAAGCTGGAAGTGGTGCTGTGGCTCAAGTCATAGAGTGCTTGCCTTGAGCTGAAGAGTGCAGGGACAGTGCCCAGGCCTAGAGTTCAAGCCTCATGACCAAAAAAAAAAGATTAAATATATTGTTCTAGGTACCACAGCTATAAAATGTAGAGTGCAGAAGGAAACAAAACAAAACAAAAAAGAGAATTCTTTAAAAGGAACAAAATAAACTAAATAATAGATGGAGGAAAAGGAAGAAAACAAAGGAAAAGGGGCAAAGGAAGGACATTGATTTGACTCACTGGGAGCTTCTAAAAAACTGGTAATGTTCTGTTTCTTAATCTGAGTAGTGGATCATGTAAGTGCCTTTACTTTTTTCTTTTTTCCCTTTCCTTCCTTCCTTCCTTCTTTCCTGTCTGTCTTTCCTTTCTTTTTTATTTATTTATTTATTTATTTTGTCGGTCGTGGGGCTTGAACTCTGGGCTTGGGCACT